CCTCTGCGAGCCAGGAGCCTTCAGAGACAGACTTCTAACAGCAGCTGGGGCAGGTTTTACTCTGGTCAATCGAACCTGTAGCAGAAAGTCTAGAAAATCAGATTTCAGAAGCAAGAAGCCACATGTCCAGCTCCATCCCTCTGTCAGTAGATTGTTCCCTGCAGAGTATTTTTCTGGCACAATCTGGTTTAGGCATGAGGACAGCAGTAGGTCTCCCCTTCCCTGGGCATCACAGGGTGAGATGAGAGAATCTCAATTTAAAACAAAAATATCCACACCGCGAACGAAGCCAGCCTTCCTGGAGAGCTGTCACTGGAAAGACTGGCTTCTGTGCAAAGTTATAGAGTCAGGTAATTCTCAGCAATTAAGTTTCAGGGAAATACTAGAGAAAAAGTTATACTCTTGCAATGCATTGTTCTAAAGGGAGAGTCTTCACACCACCTTCTGCCAAGAGGAAATAAGAAGGGAAGGGTTTTTTCCTTTTCTCCTGCCTCTTACTCTTCCAGAGAGTAAGGATAGAAAACCCTCATTAACAAAAGGAAACTTATGAACCAATGTGAGAAAGTGGGGCGTGCAGTACATTTTTTTCTGGGCAGAGCAGCAGTCTTTTACGGACAAACAAACGGGATGAAATTGCTAATTACAGCCTGGAGCTAGGAAGACTTTTATTAAGAGTATCATGCCGGAGTCTGAACACCTGTTCTCAACAGGAAGAAATGTTTCATCTCCAAAGGACAGACAGGACTTAGCATGGCTGCAACCTTTTATGAGGCCACAGCACTGCTCCAGTCATTAGACCAGACAGATTAAAACTGCTCTGATCCTGTCCTGCTTGTGCTGCTCTGGCTTTTTCCCCCAGCCTGGCACATTTGACTTTGCAGGACGCTTTTGTTTCAATTTTACAACCCGTTTAATAGCTTGAATTCCTAAAGAGATCCTTTCAGAACTACAGTACGCTACCGTAAAACATTACAACAGGAGACACCATAGCAGCCTACTCTTTCATCGCCCTGTGTGACTGCAGGCAGACGTTTGTTCCTTTGTTACGACTTTCATCCATCCTGCCTTCCTCCCTCCCAATCACAATCCAACTCTGGAGGCTTTTCAAAGATATGCTGAGGGTGTGTGGAAATAGAAGATGTTCTGTCTGAGGAACCCCATCAATAAGGTTTCTTGCTTAGATCCCCGACTGTGAGACTCCTGGGTCTGATCAGGTATGTCCTCATCAAGGTCTCTCTTCTGCAAAAAGCCTTAAACTAAATTCAACAAAAAAGCAAAAAACTACATTTAATATTCTGTTGGTGAGAGAGGAAGAAACCGCTGAAACATGAAACCTCTTGATGTATTCCTGCGTACTTTTGATTAAAGAGCTAGAAAACGATGCACAGACAACCCCCACACATTTATTTCACACTGCTCCTGGGTACAGCAGGATACAGCGTGACCTTGGTAGAAACAAGCAGTGACCAACACTTGACTAAAGGAAGGATAATTACTGCACAGCACCTGGCTATCAAACTATTCTTGCGAACTTGCAGCATTTTATTTCCCCTAATGGTCACAAGAACATTTGTTCCTGAAGGTTTTCGGAATGATCTGGCAGGTAAAGCATCAGACTGGAGCCAAGAGGAGGAGCTCTGTAATGGGTTTTTAAACTTACCTGCTGTGACCTTCAGACATTTGCTCTCTCTCTTTTATCAATACTTGATATTCATTCCTCAGAGTCCAGACTCCCACACCAGAGCAAGACCTGTCCAGCACCCCCAAAACAAGTCAGCAGTTTTTTTTTGACTGACTAGAGACTTCGGAGTTAAATAAGTGTTTTTACTTTCAAGTGTCATAGTGCCAGACTCGTAACTCAAGCTAACAGCAGAATATACAGAGGATATTCAGTACAGAGAAACTCAAGCACCTGAAAATTACCAGCCAACACTGTACAGCCAGAGAATTCTTCTTACGAGGTTTAACCCCTGTACAAAGGTTAACCCCACATCAAAAAACGCGTTTTGATCAACAAGAATACAGTTAAACAGGTCTAACAATTACTGACACAGGCTCTTCTGTTCAAACCAGGCCAGCTTCTCAGAGGAAAGCCTCCCACTGAACACTACCCAGATCAAAAGGGAGCATTAAAGTGCCACTTTGGATATATATCTATTAACTTAGCATAAATTTGAGACACGACCATTTAATGTTTGAATAAGCTCTGAATCCGTATCAAGAGAGAAACTAACAGAACTCCAACAAGATACTGATGGCCTACAACTCACTGAAATAATCTGACACATACACAAGAAGAACAGTTAAGGTATGGCTAAGAGCTGTACATTCCACCTGAAGCTCAAACGTTACTACCAGCATTTCCAGTATGCTTACTCCTTCTTCCACTACTACCCGTTGATGCGGTAATTCACATGGATTTCGGGTTTGATGTCACACACTAGAGACAACAGCTGGGAGAGGACCACCTCATGGTTCTTCTGGAAGTTCTGCTGGATCACACTCATCTTTTCCTGGGTCTCTTTCTCAACTTCAGTGGTGCAGCTGCCATGAGATCCAAGTGCCTACGAACATGAAATGAAAGAGAAAGCTGAGATGCAAGAGGTTTGACAAAGGAAATGCTACGCCTGGCTCTGAGTTTTGTTATTCTGGACCGTCTCACTGCATCTCAACCATTAATCTTCGCTGAGAGAAGAACGGCACCAAAAAAAATTAAATTACTGTTGGATTCTCTGCTCAGATTTCCCACTAAACTTGCTCAAGTTTCTAGTTCATCCACAGCCCATGCCTTTTATCCTCTCTTATTCATTATGTATCAGTTTAGAGCACGGGCTTCTAAAGAGCACTTCAAATAAAGATCCTGCTGTACTGGTGACTGGAACCAGGAACCCGTAGGCACTACTGTACTAGATACTGTTGGAAAAGCAATAATCATTATTTAGTTTAAGCACAGTCTTCACATCATGCCATTGCTTCTACCCTTGGAAAATCCTTACAAAAATCTCTGCCTTCCTAACAGGACTGCCAGTCATGTGACACGCAGAGCAAGGCACCTCTCACAGCTGACAACATCCTTAAGGACACAAGGACAGGGAAAGCAAACTCCCATTGCAAGTGGCAGGAAAAGGCACAGAAAGCATACGCTGAAGGAGACGAGCACTCTGGGACTCAAAATCAAAGAGCTTCTCTCTCTGGAGACAGATAAATAAAACAGAACCAGCTGACAGGCAGTGAAGACCACTTTATTAGCCTGGAATTGGCTGGTATCATGTGCCCAGCGAACCAAGCTTAACGAGTGATTGTAAAAAATTAATCTTGACCTACTGATGTGTAGGCTATTATGCAGGAGAACAGAGGAGGTGGTATTGTGCTAACCAGAAGACGGACAGAGGGGAGGGTGGCCAGGTCATTTTCTGAAGATTTCAGAACTGACAGGGGCATACAGGCAACAGAAACACCCTGCCTATGCGACAGTCCTCGGCTGGTGAAGGGCCCTAGTTCCACACCTTTTGGGAATACCCGTCGGGACGCAGCAGGCAACACTGCT